AAGGAAATGACTTTAACTGAAGTTATCAGGAATGTTGTGTTTATTGATAAAGACTTCAAAGAGTACCTTTCACAATCGCTACCCTGTATTTCACGATCTTTGAGGAAAGCAAAGTTGTAATTTCTGGTTCCTGTTTGAATTTCAGAAAAGCAACTAAGGTGGTTTTTCATTTGTAAGCACTTGACCAGTTACTGCTGCTGTTATCAGAGCGATTTACACAACGTGTGATACACTACTTCTGTATTTCTCCTCTAAGCCTAATAAAATACATTGCTGTTGAGGAAACATGCGGGTATGTATGAGAGTTTTCTAAATCACAAGTCTAGCATATTTTTATGCCACATATTTCAAGCCTCGTGGAATCAATAATTAATTTATTAACTGGATATCTTTTGAAAAAACAAAATCAGCAGTCCTTGCTAAACTGTGTACTGCCAATTCGTAAATAGTTGATGACAAAAATGAAAGTGTAACGGTAAAATTCAGATTTTAACGATCAAAGTATTGGGTACCTCATCTATCACAACTTGGAATAAATATATCACAGAATGTGTCATATCTCATTGACACTGTGAGACATAATGCTTTCCCTTGTTATCTAGCTAACTGCCAACTCTACAAAGTTTATAGGCTGCTAAGATAATGTGCTGGTGGTAATCCACTTCAGTTGCAGAAATATGAAGTACTGTTGAAATATATTTCTACTTGGTTTATTCTATGCTCTCAAGAGGTTAGGATACTATTTCAGTTCCTCTAAAGAGGCCCAGAGAATGAAAAGCAAAACATCAGGATAAATTATGCTAAATGCTGGACTAGACCCCAGAGGAAATCATGCTTCTGTGGTACAGTATTCGTCCATTTATCTTACAAATGTTACATCTAATGTTAATTTTGTAAAGGGAAAGCATTCAAAGATTCATCTGATTCTTTTAATAATAGTGGTAGTGTTAGAGTGCTGTTTGTCAAACTCAAACCATCGTAACTGACTTTTCTAGTTGAGACAGACCATTCATACTAAAAATATTTAAGACTACTAATACATAACATTTTATTTCACAAAACATAAATAACCTGGTAATTAAACTCCAAAACTTAACAAATAATTGCCAGCAAGCAATTACCATTCAATTAAAGAGTAATTACATGGTTATTTGTGCCCTGTAAAATAAAGCATTACTGAAATCAGTAACGCAATCAATATTTTAGCAGAAACAGGATGCTGCAGTGATGGACCTTTCAACCTGTGCTGATTAAATTGTCATCCAAATAACAGTTTCCTAGTTAAATCACCACATGTTTATTTGTCTTGATGAATATGCAAATTCAGTTCTGATTCCAGTAAATCTCTTATATTTGAAGCATAAAAGTAGAGCACTATCTACATCAGCAGTAACGTGCTGTATGTTTCCACTGATTATTTATATTTTACAACTGTTGATGAATTTGTGAGTTTTCCAAAATATGCTTGGCTGTAATGGCTGTAAAATAGAATTTTAACAGTTGGGGTTGATAGAAACTTTCAAATTAAAAATCCTTGGAACGTTTAAAGGATAAATAATAAAGTTAGATCTCTACAGGAGTGGAAAATAAAGGAAAAAACTCACACTGTGAGTGGTTTCTGAACATTTTCTATATAATTTTCAAAAGTCAAATGTACTCAAAGTGAATTTTATTCTCTGATGAATTCCATTCTGAACATAACACAAACAACGTTCAGATCATATTGTCCTGACAGGTCGTTGTTCTCTTTCATATTTTGTGCCTTTTTGGCAGGGCAGGATTATGGGAGCCTAAGCACAGGTAAAACCCCTCCATCTGCCATCTCTCTTGACAAGTAGTTGATGACTCAGAGTTTTTTTTATTTTTTTACTTTTTTTTTTTTTTTTTTAGGGATAGTAGTAGAATTTTATTAGAGCTGGCCAATTTATTTGCGCTCATGTAGTAAAAAAAATATGATTACCAAATATGTATTAATGGGAGATTGTATTGTACTTCTTTAGACTATGTGGTCTTGGCTGTGGACATAAATCTACTTTATCATTAAAATAATTTAAAGTTATATCTGTAAGCCAGCAACTTCTGATTGAAGTAACATCTTATTGAAGATTGAGTCACTTTCCATTCTTAAGGGCAAATTAATGGCAAATACAAAAGGTAAAGAAATGTTAGAAATTGTTCAAAGTTGATCATTCAGCTTCTTGCTTCCTTTGTTATCAGTGAGGAAGAAATGAGGTTTTAAGTATTTAACTTCCTTTAATGACATGAAGGAGAAAGTGGAAAAGAAACAGCAATAAAAGAGCTAGGTGTCAAAAGCTATAGGAAACTAACATTAAATAAATTTAATATGTTTATGCTGGTGCTGCTAACATTTCGAAGTTAATAGTTAAAAAATCATAAATTATGACTTACTCTTCTGAAATTATGGTCCTGCTTCCTTTCTGAAGGCATTTATCAGAAATATTCTCTAAACTGTGAGGGTCAGGTATGTTTTAAATAGAAAGCGTGAATCAAAATTCCAGGCTTCCTAAGGTGGTAAGAATTGCACTGTGTGGGCAGTGGAAATGTGCAGACAGACAAGTGAGTTTCATTGCTTGGCAGTGCCGGCAGCAGCGCAGTCTGTGATAAAGCGAAGCACATCGCATGTTTTAATGCACTGAGCTTTTGTTTCCTTTGTGTAAATCTTTCATTTAAAAGTAAGATTAACATCAAACATTTTTATCCTGTCTCTGAGATTCCTGCTTTTCGTTCAAATGAAAATGCCAGAATTTTCTTTTGGCCAGAAACTATATATGCTTGTATTCAAATAGGTGCTTTCTTTGAGCTGTGCTGTCCTCCCAGGAAGAAACCTTGGTTATGATACATCAAAAATAATAAATCATAAATGCTTCTTCATAAATTCTTCTAGAAATGTTTGATTTTTTATTTTTTATTTTTTTAGATTTTTTATTACAGCTTATATCAACATACAGAGTTTTGCAAATATTCTGTAGTATTTGAGCTTGAGAAGGGAATGTTTTGTGGTTTAGTTGGTTGAACTGTTGGAGAAAGCTGCTCATTTTTGGTGTTTTATTTTTGTGATTTTTTTGCAAATGCATTAAGTGCCAATTAAGCACTTAGAGATTCATGTGTGTGCACAGACTTTTGTAAATCGAAATTTTAACAACTCCTTTTTATTTCACATCTGCACGTACAAGCCTAATAGTGTATGGTAGATGGCCATTCAGCAGGTGTTTTTAACAGATAATCCATTTGTGCATCTAACTTCCTGTGAAATTTGCATGCTGTTATTTTAGGTTTACATTATTAAAGCCTCATGAGTCTGGGCTTTCACAGTAAGTTGTACTTTAAAGCCGTCATAGTGGGATAAAGCGTAACAAAGTAAAATGAAAAACACACTAAATAAGATGAAATACAAAATGGGCAAACCTGAAGCTGAAAAAAAGGACAGGATAGTTATTTAGAGAGAAAATAATAAACTGAAAAAATGATTTTGTGCTACCTTGATGTACAGTAAAACAAAATAGCACTAGCACAGTGTGTGAAAAATGAACACGTTAATGGTACCTCTGCGCAGTGTTGCTGGAAGTTGTCTTCATCTAAACACAGAGTTGTCTTACGTTGATGGAGAGCTTTGGCACTGTAAGTTGATGGAGTGAGGTTTAACTGAAATGTCTTTGTGGACTTGAAGTCATTTTGGAAATGCTCTCTATTCAAACCTCATTCATTGTTGCAGCTTAGTTACTTCATACGATGTTTCACTATATTTTGTCAAGAGCTGTGTTATTCAGCAAAGTAAAAATTGTTTTGATCTAAGGGAAGCGGGAGTACTTCGACAAACACTCGGAGGTTATATTTTTATTATTTGTCTTGGGAAAGTTGATTCAGATGGTCCTTGCTCTGTAAATCTGTATTATGGTGGTAGCTGTATAGCATGATTTCATGCAGGCATACTGACTTAAGAGATAAATGTGATAGCTAAAAAATAGATACTGTAAATGAATATTCAGATCTTTAACATTTTGGATTAAAAATCACAGGCATTATTCATAAGGTGGTTGGAGATGGTGAGTTTTTGACAGGTTGAACATTCTTGGTTTAACCTGTGTGTGGTAGTCAAAACCACAAGTCAGTCCGTGAAGTAATCAGTTCTGGAAAAGCTGAGTGTTAAATTAGAGCTGATTCTTCAGAAAAAGGCTTTTACCTGCCATGATTCAGAACATGGCAGTTAATATCATAAAGATTGCATTGTGTTGAAATTTGAGTCAGTGTGGCTTTTCAGCTTGCATGGTGCACGTGCATGGCTCAGACTGGGGAGCAGTTACTGCTGAGATCTCTCTCTGTTAGCAACCTGTAAGAGCTGGGGAACCCTTGGTTAGTGCATGGATTGTAGAGGTGCATGTGGGTTTGCCTCCCTGAAGCCAAGCTGGCTGAGATGCTGGAGACGGTGATTATATTCAATTGAATCTGAGCTAATAAATTCCAGTGGACCTAATCTGAATGGCTCTGGTGTCCCCCTAGTCATTGCATTGTTAATCTGCATTACCCAAAAATCTCTGTTTGTGAGATGAGTAATGCATTTGGTTGCATTTTCAAGACTTTACCAACATGCAGGTGAATCTCTTGTGCTCTGTTTTGCAGACAGGAATACTGAGGAACATGTATTAATTAGCAGAGTAGTGATACGTTAGGACTAGACTCTGGAATTATTTGTTTTTGCTGTTTTAATGGAGGTTAAATGACAGTTTTCTCATCATTTATGTGATGTAGAGCTCATGGCTGTGTTAACTATAGGTGCAGTTTGAGAGTGTATTGTTGGTTCATTTGAAATCTATACAGTTATGGTATGCTTAATTGACTGAGGGTTTTTTTCCTCCTAGGCAGGAGGAATGATATAATCTTACGTATTTTTGATAGTTTGCAAATTTTATACATACATCATGTATAGTAAACAAATATTTGAAAAATAAAAAGCATTTTTGTTTATCTTCTTGTTTCATCAGCTCACGGCCAGGAAGACCCCCGAAGCGTTCGCTTGGAGTTGCGATACAGGAAAATGCACGTCTTCTGCCCCATGGAGTTCCAGGCCTCTTATCACCAGGCCTTATCTCTCCGACAGGTAATAAAATCCATCAGATGATCGGCCTCATCTCTTCATACTGCACAGCAGTTAAAATAAACTAATATTGATCTAAGTTCCTTGTCCTTCATGGCTTTTTCAAGCTTTAGCAGAGGTTACATTATTGGATTTTTTGAGTGTTCATGAAAGTTCTGTTTTGTTGCTGCAGTGACTGAAATCTAGTGGATTTGTAATTTAGTTCTTTATTAATTGTAATTTCCTTACAGGAAATTCCATTAAATGTTATTTTAGTAAAAGGGGAAAAAAAAAAAAAAGAGAAAATGAACAATTGTTTCAGAGAGCCCTGTAGCATGCATTTCTTCCTTTCAAATGCATGTGTGTTTTAGTTCTCATGGGATATGAACAGCGTGGCTAATGTGTATTGTGTTGTAACATTGTTAATGTATGCTGGGAAGATAGCAAAATGCTTTTATGAGCTGTAGAAGAAACACTCAAAAAGCAGATAAGTTCATGTTACCACAGTGGATTCTATTTTAATAATCCACATTAAATATCATCATATAAAAAGAAGCATAAAAATGTGACATTACAAGCAATCTCTACTCAAAATGTAACGCATGGTGTTTTATTCCAGTTTATTATTTATTAGTAAAGTCTTAAGTCCCTAATTAAGCTATCTTGATGAGGGTTGTTGTTGTTGTTGTTGTTGTTGTTTTATTGATGGTATGCCAAAGACAAACAAGTTTATTTTGGTAATAAAATCAAGAGGATATAGCTATATTGACAGACTATATTCCTAATAGTATTTATTTAAATATTCAAGAGGCTTAGCAGTTTTAGGATTACTGTCAAATTCCAGTGTAAACATGTTGTATGCCCACCAACAAACTTAAAGTTTTTAGCAGAATGCAAAGAACAACAGCTCACAACAGTCGTAGAATTAAGTGTTTGTCTCTAATGCAGTGACTGTGGTCTCCGCTCGCAAAACCTGTTGCAGTGTGATTGAGGGCCTCAGTGGGTCCCAGTGTTCAGGAGAGTGACAAAGCTGAGGTCTTTGATTCCTCCTACAACTCCAAGTGTCATGACAATTTCACAGAGAACCAATAACCCTTTTCTGTGAAAATGGAAATAAACATTCTTAAGCAATAGTCAGAGAAACCCGAAGTAGTTAATGTAAGTATAAAAGTCTTTTAGTACAGCCAGATGCCACAGTCAAACAAGTGCAACTTCACATACAATAAATACATGCAGCAGAGTTTGGGAATTGTATGTTTACTCTTATAACTAACAACTGACAGTTTCAGTATCTCTGTCATGTACTTAGCCTAGGAATGTCATGGGTATTTAATTGTTTGGGTGATTAGCAATAGACAGGAGAGCACAAGAGTCACCGTACTTGTGAGAAATCTGGAATATTGCATAGTGCTTTTCACCCTTTTTTAATGCACATTACTGTGTTTGTTTAAATTGGAAAATATTTGGCAAACTCTGTGTTGCACAGTAAAATAGAATCTAGACGCAGCATCTCACATATATTAAGTATTACAGTGTTTGAATAAAAATGTTTAAAGCATAGTTATTTCTAGACTTTGGGTTTTTTTTTGTAGTCTGAAGTGGTGACTGGGACATATCCCACTTCATTTATTTGTGGAGGATTGTGTAAGGAGGTTGCCCCCAACTGCTGCCTTTCAGCTGAGGCCCAGGGTGGCTGCCTTTCTGACCTTGTGAGCTGTATTTGTGTGACCAAATGGCAGAAGTCACACACAGTGTGCCTTAAGCAGCTGAAAGGGAGTTCTGTGATTAAGTTGCAGAGAAGAAAAGACAATTCCAAAGCATCACAGTCATTGAGTGCTCAGGTGAGATGGATCCCTGAGGGTGAAGCGTCCTGTAGCTAGCCCGTGGCACAGGTGCTCTGCACCAATGGCTGTGTAGTCTCAGCACTCAGGACTCAGAGCCCCTGAAGTTTTGGTCTTGTTTTGTTCATAAAGAAAAGCAGCAAAGAGAAAGTTGAGGTAAGCGCTGAGTAAGGAAGGGTGCCAAAAGAGCCACTTGTAAACTCAGTGGGGATCTAAGCTGTTGCAAACTTGATGGAGCACCTGGGATATGAAGACTCCATTAGCTTTATTTATATCTGTTTTCACTTAATTACTGTCTGCTTTCCTCTGGTTGCTTTCAACACTTCTGCAGTTGGATTCTTTCCTTTTGGCTGAGTTAAGAACAAAAAACATTTTAACACTTATTAAAGAACGAAGGTTTTTCTACCAGACTTCTGAGTGGTGGTTAATAGAGTAAAAGTTGCAAGGATATTAAAGTGTTGTGTATCAGCCAAGTGTTAATTTACTTATTTGGGATCTCACTTGTATATGGTTTGCAGATGGTTATGTTAATCTGCCTACAATATTTTTTGAAAAATTAGAAAATCAGACTCTCTCTTCTTATGTTATTAAGACATTTTCTGATGGGACCAAATTACCATCAGAACTGTTTTATTCTTCAGATAACTCATTTTGGTAACAGACTCCATGTTAGCGGATGTAGCGTGATTCATCCATCCATTTCATTTTCTAGTTTTGCCTCCCCTTTAGTCTGTGGTCTCCTTCAAATGAAGCTGTCCATACGTGCTGTTGGTCAGATAGATACGTCTCAAGAAGTTGCTGTTCTGGCCATTGGACTCACAAATCTGTCTGTAGAGGGTATTACAGAATGATGATTAGCAACTTCCTGCAGACTTGGGTGAGCCATCTGCGTTTCCGTTCCTTGAAATGTGCTGTTATTTTCATCACCCATTTGGTTTATGTCAGTTCAGTTTACATGGTCATTTTCACATAATAAACAGGTAGTTAAATTAGGCATACTGCATTTCCCAGTGCAGAGTGTAATTTTTTACATCTTGGCAAAGAGGACTACAGCTACTCTCACGTGCAAGAAATTGGGAAGGCAGTTTAAGTTAAGCATCTATGTTTTCAAACGCTTCCAGCTACCTTCTGCCTTTGGGGATTGGGAACGTTTGAGGACGAGGCTGGAGCAGCAGGGTTGCTAACCCTGCAGTGACTGAGAACGATGGGGCAGCGTGCCTGGGATGCATGCTGATGGGAAGGGCTTGAGCAGACTGCACAATGACCCTGCCCAAGAGCTGATATTTGAGTACTGTCCATTTTGCATTAGCTTAGGAGAAAGTGTTGTGCTTCCTGTATTCTTGTAGGAAATGTCAAAATCAGCGTGGTGCCCCTGCCTGCTGTGAGGGCAAGGGAAAAATCCCATATGTCAGTGAGGGACAGTTATCAAAGGCTTTCTTCTTTTTCTTCACACAATGCAGTGTGATGAAGTGACATTAATAGGAGATAAAGCGTTTGGGGTTTTTTTGTTAATGTACAGGGCTTTGTCTTCTGTATATCTTAACAAGGCGGTTGGGACTTACTGATGGAACTTTTAGGCTCTGAAGCAGTGGTTTTCTGTGTGGAGAGAAAGTGAAATCTATTATGCTATTTAAATCAGTAGTTCAGAAAACTGTTGATATGGAGCGAAGCTGCTAGACTAACTGGATCTTGTCATAGTTGTTCTGCCTGTAATCTAGCTCAGACCCAAAAAGGTTTAAAAAAAGCACTATATGAAGTCACCATTACAGATTTTTCTCTATTCAATGTGTTGAAACACTACTATTATTTCTATAAAATAGAAACGGATACTGTTTATCTGATTAGCTGTTTGTCTAGAGTTTATGAGAAACAGTAATTAAAATGTTGACTTGTTTGTGCAGACATGAACAGTTTTCCAATGTAATTTAACTTAAAAATAGTTAAGAACATTGTGAACGGCATAGTTTCAAGATGTGATATTTCAGTGAAATTACTATTGTAATAGATAAACCAAATAACATCACTGTGGGACTTAAACAAACAAAAAACACCACACAGGATCACGGTAACTTTGTGCATTACTTCAATTCAGCAGTGCTTTTTAGCAGTCACTCAGCCTTTCCAGAGAACAGAGAGGATACAGCAGTATTTGTTACAGTGTTTGAGCACTTGTATTGGTTGCATCTGTTTCAGAGGAATGGAGAAGGCTAGAAGCTTCTAACAGCTTTGCTTCCCAGTTGTTTGTTATGGAGGTGGGCACATGGCCACGCAACAGAGCCCTGCTGCCTGTGGGAACTCCTCTGTGCCACTGCTCCACAGGTCTCCTCCGTGTTTTTTTTTTTCTGAAATGAGTGCAGCTATAGTGCCCGTGGTCTGTCCTGCCTGTGGAATTGGAAGATGTGTCCAGGGTTGAGGAATGGGGCAGCAGAGAGGCGCAGTGGGACTGGAGGCAGCAAATCCGCTCCACATGCTCGGAGACCAGCAGTGCAAAAACCAGGTTCTGAGGGTGTCTGTGTTCATACTGTAACACCTAATATTAAGAAAGTTACTTCTTCAACATTCATTCAGGGTCATTTAAAAGAAAATTTATGGATTGATTTCACCTCTTGAGCTGTTAGATGTAGAGCTGCTGTGGCTGGCAGCAGTCCTAGAACCTCTGAGAGCAGACGATCAGAGAGCTGAAGGGAACCTTTTACTGTCTCAAAATACTTCACTGAGCATTTTTGTATGTTTACATACTATTTCTGCAGCTCATTTCACTGTCTACCGTAATCCTCTTTTTTTTCAGTTGTCATAGATGTCACTTTAAAGTTCCATTTATAATGAGAAACATATGTACAACTTTGTCATTGTTGGCATTACCTGGCTTGGTAGAAATTATTATTTTTAATCGAAGGCAAACATACTGGTTAAGAATACTGCAGCACTTCCCTGCCAATGGGGAACGTTAACAGTTTATAAATTGTTCTTGGTGACAATTCAGCAGTGAATTACTTTGATATATATGGCTAATAAATTAATATGATTAAGTTAATGAGTAGTACAAGTCTTGCCAAACTCCACTCGTCGGGCTTTTAATGCCGCTCCGCATTTGCAGCTCTAGCTTCCCCCTGTGGTGAGAGGATCAGTGCTACCTACGCACTGTCATTGTGATAAATGGCATATCCCACAGTGCCCTGCACT